GGGGGGGGGGGGGGGGGGGGTAGGCCGTGGTACAGAGAAGTACTCAATTATTAAACTCCTATAGATTGCACCACTCAACTATTTTTAACCTTTATTTTTATTTCTGAAGTTTTTCCAAAAAGAATACTAAGAATAGTAATATAAGGACAGCAGTACACTACACAGTAGTACTCTCTTTGATTCATTCGGCTAAAATACAGACTGTTTACAACTAATAATAATTAGAACAATTATTGTAGAAGATTATTTTAGTTTGAAATTAGAAGTAAGGATTACTCCATAATTTAAGGAATACATCAAGGATCATTACCAACATTTAGTTGACATCAATCATTTGAGGATAGTTGGTATTTGTCTAATTGGACGACAAATTTACACATGCAATGTTATTATTGATTTGTGTAAACATCAAGCGAAGTATGAGTAAGCTTTTACTGTTTACTACTAATTACATTTCAATCTTCACCAGCATATTTGCAAGTAATGGTCCTCATTTGCGGAATTTGTACTTTTTATGCATTAATAGTAGTATATGTATATAACTTAAATCCTTGACTTTATCACTTGATGGATGACTACAGTTTCACAAAAGTTTGTTCAGTATGATGTTGATGTGCATTTATCAGCTTTGATAATTTGAATACGTTGAGGCCTTTAGCCTCCCTGTATAACAACATTTCACTATAAAAGCCAAGCTTTTTCGGAACCAATTTTTATGTTATGTTATAATATATGTTCTATATAACAGCACTTCGCTATAACATCCAAAAATATTCGAAACAAACAAGGCTATTATAGATTGGTTTGACCGTACAATTTTTCTATTTAACACTTCTTTGTAGAAAACTGTACTCTAAAAAAAGGTAAGGTTAACAGTTAACTAGACTGTCCATTTTGCAATATCATATTTCAGACATTTTTCAAGTCACAGATTGCATAAAAATAGCAGGCTAAATTTTCTGAGTAGCAACAAAAGCACAACAGCAGGTTGATCAGAACTAGTTCAAAATGGTTTGTTCCTTTCGTACAGAGAGACAGAGATTGTTGTTTTAAGTTTACTGATACCTCCATAACATACTTAGATAAACGACCAGTTCACGAACATAAAGCTGATACAATGAGCATTATCTTCTTCATTCACAACCTTCCAAGCCACAGCTTTCTCATAAGAAACAGGCCTACCCATGCTCGACAAACAGATTCCACCTCGGAGACACGCAAAGCCCTGTCAGCAGATGTGGCGACATGGTTAGTACTATGCTGGCGTTGGTCTTAAATCCAGAAAATTTTCAAGTTCAACATGCTTGGAACACTCCCCACTCTCTCGGAAAAGATAGAGAATCACTTTATTCTGGACAGTTATAGCAAATTTAACCTAGTGAACTTTTCTTAAACTTTAATATTGAAACTTCAATGCAACCGTGCTAACTCAGCTCGTCAAATGTTAAATAGCACACTGTAATAGCAGACAGTAGGTACAAGACCATCCAATCACTGCCTCACTAATTCAATATAGATTCCACATAAATGAGTTAAGTAACACACCTGTTGCATTATCTGTGGGAACTCAGAGCAGAGGTTTTTCCTTCCATGTTCATCAAATATTTTCTCCAAAGAAATATCTTGAAGTGCAACCAAAGTTGTCTCGAGCATGTCAAGACCTGCTTGGTTTGCAAATGTGAAAACTGGCAAAGCCTGCATAAATATTTAATTTCAGCATATCCATATGCCCAAAAGATCTAAAAATTGTTAGCAGGTGAAACAAACAGCAACATTGGTGTTAAAAGCCCAAGTCACAATCTAGATTTCTCACTTCTAGCTGCGGAAAGTGCATTGTACTGCATATAGAATATTTATACAACTAGTAATTATTAAATTAGAGATTTCTTATGAAGGTTCTGAATACACAAGGATGAGAAAGGACTGCAGTGGAAGAAGGTTTAGAAAGCAAACCTTTGCAGAGCAGCAGATAATAGCATCTGAGTGTTGCCATAGGCTTTCGAGGACTGATTCACTTCCTTCACCACTCAATTTCGGAAGCTCCACACCCAAATAATGCCTTGGAATAAAGAGGAAATAGAGTCAAACACTTTAATTAATGGACGACAAAGATGCATTTGAAGAAGACTTTTAATTGGAAACAAGTAAACATCATTTGCACATCAGCACTTGCAGAAATCAAAAAACGAAAAAGAAATCAAACATAAAACAAAGAGAATCCAATTCTCTCGTTTTAGAGGTAAGCAAACACATTTCAACAATAACAGAAGAAAAGTACAATTGAGTGGGAACAGATTGAATGGTTGATTGACAGCGGAAAGACAAGACATATAGCAACATGACAATTGTATGACTGGACCAATATAGGTTGCCAACAAAGTGACAAACCATGTAATACATTGAATGGAAATAACTCGTATGTTTTATTGATCGGGAAGAAAAGATATATACTGACATGACCGTTATACGTCTAAACCAACATAGGCTGTCAACTAACCATGTATGTCACTTAAGATTGGGCTTAGAAAATCACAAACTAATATTTCAGGCAATGTGCAAGTATATGCCACGCACCTGTAACTTTGGCAGATCCACCGAGCTAGTGTATGTGCTTCAGGAGTCCCCAGAGGCAGACGAAGACCTCCCAGGGAACCGAAGTGAGATGGAGAAAGTGCTAATGCAACCCTCTGAACAGATGAAATAAAGCTTCGGACATACTTTCGAGCCATTGATGCAACATTCTCTTGCATGTGACTTTCAAATGCAAATTGAAAAGCAATTGTCATTATAGATTTTGATGTGACACCAGTAGACTTGTCATTAACAACTTTACTTTCTGCTGGCCCAATCTCAAGAGCAGAAGTAAGATCAAGGGTACGATTTGGACTGGAGGCTTCCTGCATGAAATTGCATATTCTCAAACTACTCAGAGAGGATAACAAACAAAGAAGGAAAAAGCCCGGTGCACTAAGCTCCCGCTATGCGCGGGTCCAGGGAAGGGCTGGACCACAAGGGTCTATTTTACGCAGCCTTACCCTGTATTTCTGCAAGAGACTGTTTCCACGGCTCGAATCCGTGACCTCCTGGTCACATGGCAACAACTTTACCAGTTACGCCAAGGCTCCCCTTCGAAAAAGAAGTGATGTAAGGGATGAATGTTCTAACCTTAGCAGAGTCTAGAGGAATGATGCGAAACCCAGAAGGAAGGAGCGGTGCATCATCAGCAAACGAGGCATCAATAGGAGCAAATATAAGTTCAGCACAGGTGCCAACAGCATTTTCATCCATTCCACTGCACATCTGCCAAAAGCACAGAACATGAGGAGTTAAAAACTGTTTTAGAGTCAAAAACAGGCAGTTTAACCCAGCATATTCAGCATCCTATGCAAGTTTGACCAATAGATCAATTCAGTCAAATCTTGCAGCATCATAACATAGCTATCAAGAATCCATATGCTCAACACTTGGATATGAGCAGACTTGTGATACTAAAGATGATGCATGGTAACTTTCATGTTTCGAAAGCTCAGGAAAACAGCATAGGAGCATATGGTATCTATAATAAATTTCCTTTTGGTACTGGACGGTTGTCCAGAGCCAGAGTAGCAACTGAAGTTTCTCAAACCATTAAGTTAAGCTTCTCAATCTTGTACAAGTCTGTCTCCTATAGAGGTACGGGCTTTGTTAGATCCAGTTAAAATTCTCTACAAAGGAACAAAATCCATATGCAGAAATAGAACTTACTTGCAGTAGGAACATATCTCTTGGCATTATAACATCTTCTGGAGAATGGCAAACTCCTTCCAACTTGATGACCTCCAGCAACTACTGAGCATAAAAGAGGTTGTGATCAACATTAATGATGAGGAATCCATCCCATATTATCCAAAGAAGACAGAAAGGAACAGTTTTAAGCATGCCCACATTGATTTAAATAGGATCTAGAACACTTGCCTCTTCATGTTCAGCGGTGTGTGCCAGTGGAAGTATCACTTGACCCCCAAAATTACAGACTCGGGCCCCAGGTAGGCTGCAAGGACCAACTTTAACAGCTGCAGCTGCGTAGGCATCAATATCGCTGTCTACCCATTCTGATCGATGCTCACGCAGAAATCTGAGAAGTACTGCAGGAGTCACACTCTGAACAACAGAAACAGGAAGATGTCAAAAAGCAAGATAAGAAAATGGTCAAGCCAAGATAAAGTACATAAGGAGGAGGAGGAGGAACTGTGTCAAGAAATTGATTGGGAAAAGCAAGCAACATCACTGGTAATAGCAGATCGTGTCCTCCATTTAACCATTTCACGTTTTTCAAGCAATTAAATATCTACAATTTGGGCGGTCTATCTTGCACTATACCAGACGAACATATCAGCATAAGTCATTGTGAAACCAATTTTAATTTTCTAAGGGGTTAAAAGCACCAAAATGTACTTATCTACATTGCATTGGAGAACAACTAAATGAGTTTTAGTAAAGCCAAGCTAATCTAGATTCTAGATACACTATCAACTTACCAAAATGGCCTTTTCTTTTAATTTGGTTGTTTAAGACTCTAAGTTATATCCATGCCATGAGAATTAGTCTTTCCGTAGCCCAAATACAGAGATTGAGAAAAGAAGAGAAAGACCAAGTGATCCAATTTATTTGACTATTCTCATCAATATTGTTTATTGTCTTGGAAAAAAAGTCAATACTCTCAGAATTTAATCAGTGCATTTGACCAGTTAGAGAATAAAGTGAGTTTGAAAAACATGGCTAATCAGTTATTTATCCATTTGTAGAAACAAGAAAGCCTGTAATTCAATTGTATAGCTTCAGGATGAAAATTGGCTGAGCTGACCTGTAGAAGCATCGATGCTTTTGCACACAAAACTGCATTGCTTAGAGATGTAAATTCATCAGCAAAAGAAAGGTTTAAACCCATCAACTTGTCGGGAGAAGAGTTAACAAGGATGGTAACATCATCCATTCCATCATTATCCAGCATAGACCAGCCCTCACTGGAGAAACCATTCAGAGCCTCATTGAAACCTCTGCCAAAATAATTCAAATAATAGTAAGTAACTTGAACAAAACCTGAAAGAGAACTCATCAGAAGTTAGTATATTCAAACCTGCTCAACTTCTTGCTCAATGCCCGTAGAGCTGCTGGTCTTCTACCCCAGTTAGTGACATTAGGTTGTGAAGCTTCCAAAGTTATCTGCCTCAGTTGGCGTAGTGCCTAGAAGTACAAGGCAAGGAAGAAAACCGCATTGAGTGTCGGGAGTACAAATAGAGTTTGAATTCTTACATGACATGTTGCACCAGATTTGATTAAAGTTCTTACTGCCATTGACGTCTTCTGAGCAAGCACTGCCGATGACTCATATAGTGGACGCAACACCTCTGGCACACTCCATGCCTGACAATAATAATACCAAAACTGTAACATGGCATAAGCAGGTAATTGTAAAGGATACATGAATTAAGACATAATAGATGACACCTTTACCTCTAAGTCCATATGATCTACAATATGGACAATAGAGCCGCCACCCTCACAAGGTCGAATCAGGTATCCACTAGGCAGCATTTCTGCTCTCACAAAATTCTGAACTGGGGGCATACTTGGACCATTTTGAGTATTTCCCAGTGACCTTTCACAAACCTGTGCATTTTATTGAATGAGATATTGGTTCATGATGTATGTGGAATACATACATTTTCCAATTGTAGGTATAGACACATCCAACAAATTGTACATGTCTGACCAAGCAGAAGTTTTATTCGGCTTATAATGGAGACATACTCGAGCATTTTAAGGAAAACATAAGCATTTCTGCTGGCACATAGTGTGATACTCATAAACATCATGAAAGTGATTCTGCACATGCTATGGAAACTTGGCAAAATTAAATTCCTTGATTCAAGAAAATTACTGGAAAAAGAAATCTCATACCACGAGGCTGCCATCATCCATAACAGTAGAGTAGCGTAACAGCCAGAAATCACGAGGAGGCGCCAATGTTGTTGGTGCATAAAGCTAAACAGTACGGAGCATCCATAAGATCATGAAGATTGCATAAAGGAACTGAAGGAAATAGTAGCAGACATTACAGGTAATAGTCACCTACCTGCATGTAGAGAAGTTCAATGGTTCCACCATTGGCAGTTGGCAGCATATTTAGAACTTCAACAGCTCGGCAGTCCCGATACCATGAAGGGCGATCCTTAAGGATTTCAGCAACCTAGAGGGAGCTTAGCCAATCAATTTCGATTTATTATTCCAAAGAAGACCTGAGAATAGATAACCAACTTACCCTCGTGGGATCTAAACCAACCAGGCCACAAGCTCTTGCTGCCATGCCAGTGCAACCATGAGAAATAGCAATGATTCCAATGGAATCCGGACCAGGCTAGTCATATCAACATGAGCATGATTAGGAAGAGTTATTCTGGCTTGGACAAACTTACTACTGATACAGTAACAATTAAAGTTAGGGAAAAGGTTTCAAAATACTAATATGGTCCTCACAAACCAAGAAGTTGACAAGGGTGAATACCAATCGCATGAAAGGTTCAGTCATGGATTGTACATTTTAAACCATAAGATTTTGACACAGCAAAAGCTTTTATTGTGTTAAAGATTATGGTCGGAGGTACTATGACCTTGATATTGTTAGCCAAGGAATTGGCAATTGCTTGGTAGTTCATCGAAATTATAATTGAAGAGAAAGAAGCGTCCGATTTCTTGCATTTGATGCTAATACATTATGGTTTGCTGATTTCGGTTACATAATATTGACTGGAACAGATTAGCTGCATGAATTCTTCTTCAATCGCGTGATAGTGGGGAATAGACTCTTTAAAAGAATTACAAAATTAATTAACCCATTATTTTATTTATGGATATACCTTCATTCCAGGCATTTGGACCCACTCAACAGCAGTTCCAGTAGCCTTTGATAGAAACTCTGTTAAAGTCTCTTCTGCAATGGACAAAAGCCTGGAAAAACACAAAAAGCAAGAAAATTGGCACAAGCCACCCACAAACATAAAAAAACAAGATAAGAAAAGGACCCAACAACCATAATCCCACTAACCCTGCAGGACTAGCATCTCTTGGCGGATGCTGAGGTGCCAAGTGGTGTTGACCACTTGTTACCACTGATTCACAACTGGTGTCTTTCGAAGCAATCTTTGTCTACAAATCAAGAACCACACTTTAATCCTCAACTACCTAAAATTGACTAAGTAAGGAGTAGCTGCTAATAATAATTCCTTAAAACAATAGCTGTTTGTTTGAATGGAAAGACTTACAGTTTGAGTTTGCTTGCGGAAGTAGCCATTTTCATATACCAGTTGAGAAACTTGCTTCTGCAATCTATCATTTTCTTCCATTAATAGCTTGTTCATTGCTGACAGCTTCCTATTCACACCCTGAAGTCTAGATGACTCTTTCCTCTGTTTTTCCCTGCATCTATATACCTCAAAACAAAACAAAAAAAAGGAAAGAATCAATCAATTAACTACGTCTTAATTCCAGATCAGTTGGAGTCTGAAATATGAATCCTTTATCCCAACTAATACAACAACAACTAAGCCTCAGTCACAAACAAGTTGGGGTCGGCTATATTTATCCTTAATCCATTGGTCGATTAGGCAATACCTAATGGACAAATACAACAACAACAAGGACAACTATGCCTCGGTCTAAAACAAGTTGGGGTCGGATATATGAACCAATGAATAAAAATATAAACTTTTACTAATTAGGCAATACCTTCTGTTCTGAAACCAAACTTTGATTTGCCTAGGCTCAATGTGAGAGAGAATAGGACATTCACGAATAAGCTGCTGGCGACGCATTGAACTGGGTTTTGGACACTCATGATATAGCCTTTCAAGAGCTTCAACCTGCTCAGGTGTATACCGGACATACTTCCCATTATCATCAACTGACTTACCATCCTTGCAGGACATTGACATTATTACTATTTCTTACACTCCAAAGACACCCCTTTATCCGATAGTTCCAAAATATGAGTAATCAACAAAACAAGATTCACAGCTTTCCCCCTTCTTCACAATAATACAAACACTTGCATCAAACCAAAACTTTTTCTTGGTAATACTAAAAGCAAGGGTCCCAAAAATATTGAGTAATCAACAAAACAAGATTCACAGCTTCCCTCCTTCTTCACAACAATTCAAACACTTGCATCAAAACCACACCTTTATCTCTTTTTCTTGGTAATACTAAAAGCTATGGTCCCAAAAATCAAGATTCTTGATGTGGAAAGAAATAAGCAGACAACCAATTACCAAAACGAAACGGCACTATCCTTAGCATCAAGCACTAGAAAACATATATCTTTCGAATTCAGAGCTCCCAAGAACTAAACATACATTTTTCACCAATACCAATATCAATTAAATACACCATTATTTCATAAAGATTTGTTCTTTTTTCACTCACTATAAAGATCTGCAAGCTTCATTTCCTCTTCCATCCACATGCCAAACAGTAAAGTACCAAACTTTAGACTTGGGTATTTACCAAAAAGATCCAAACTTTAAGCTTTTGAAAGCATAATGAGCAAAACCCAGAAACCAAATTTTCATGGCTATGAACTTCCCTCTTTCAGTTCTTTCCAAATTTCAGCATCTTTGAGTGAAGTAGGGAAGATTTTTAGGTATGATATTTATAAAAGGACAGATCTTGGATCAAGAAAATGAACTGATTTGGGGTATATGTTAGGAAAAAGTAACTGAAACTTGGGATAAGTACTGTATTTGGGAGGTAATGTGATGGTGGGGGGTGGGGGAGTATGGTTTTGTTTGGATTGGGAAAGTGGTTTTGAGCTGTCACAGATCAGTGGTTCGTTACCTTTTCTTTTCCTCTTTTGAGGCCAATTGAATCAGCCTACTACTCTACTACATATACATACAGTACAGTGTGACTCTTTTGCTGACTGCCGAGCTGCACCAGATATGGAATATCTCTGATTGAGACGTCGCTACGACCAATATGCCCTTGAAATGATGGAGCATATTCAAATTATATACAACATGTATACGGTTTAACATAATGTATTAAATAAATATTCATCTATATGCTTAAAATATAAGTTTATATATATATCACTGTTAAGAAAATTTGATGAGCGTAATAATACTTCGCATGCGATGTACAATAGTTTATTAGTTTTGGATCTTGTCTTTAAGTAGTATGTTATTTCCTTAGTTGGTCATACATAATACCGAATACACTTGGTTTATTTGCACTTTCTTGCAAAAAATATTATTGCTTCAACGAAATTTAAGACAAATGAAACTTTTGACACATGTTAAATTATCAACAATTAATGGTAGTAGTAGTTTCAGTTAGAAGTGGGTGTTCGATAATTCGGTACGATATTTATAAATTTCGGTTTGGTACTTCGGTATTCGATATATCAATTATGCATATCAAATACCGTACCAAAGTAGTTCAGTACGTTCGGTATTTTTTTGTTCGGTTCGGTACGATTTCGGCATCATCGTCCTTATTTAACGTGACAAGGAGTGACAATTTGGTTAAGGAGTGGCAATTTGCATACCAGATTCGGTAAATAAACACCTCAAATACATACGGAGCACACAAAGTTGAGAGTACGAAGAAAGTTGCAAAACTCGATGCTTTCTGTTGGTTACAAAATTGTTATCGGAGCTCGAAGTGCTTCTTGGCGTATTATGTCTTGCATTGAGCAGAAAGAAGAGTCAAAAGGAAACGAGAACAATGTGAGGTTGATTATTAAGAGATATAGGCAGAAGGTAGAAGAGGAGCTGTCCAAGAAGATTTTCCATGATATTCTAGAAATCATGGACAAACATTATCTCATTCCATCTTCTGGTACAGGAGAAGATATTGTCTTTTATTACAAAAAATGGAAGACTAATGTTTAACCATCCATTCTAACTGTCTCGGTATTTCGGTATACCGAAATATCGAAACCTCAATACGAGTATCGTACCGAAATATCGAATAATCAAAAAATCGATACCAAATTATACCGAATAAACTGATACCGAAATACTGAATTAATTCGGTTCCGTTCGGAATTCGATTTTTCGAATTTTATGCTTACCCCTAGCATCAGTGTCCTTTTACTTTTTTTTTTCCTCATAAGGAAGTTTTACTTAAAGTGGTTCCCAACAAATAATGTTATTAAGGGTTATGAAAGTAATAGGATTAAATAGTTTCTAGATATAAAATTATAATAATTTTTAAAATTTTAAAAAAGAAAAATGAACCACATAAATCGGGAACTGAAAAAGAAAAGAGTTTTTTTTTTCACCCGAGTTCAGTGTTCATATTGCGGTTATGGGGTTTGCACCTCTTAACTTGAGAACCATTAAAGGGAAAGCATATTCCTATTAATTTTATTTTTATACTTGAATTCAAATTTTTGATTAAGAACGAAGATGAGACTAACGACGACCGTGGCACTCCCCTAACGCCGTACAGAAAAGATTAGTGATATATGTAACGACTAGTGGTATTACAGAATAACTGTCCAATGAACGGTAATTAGGCCAATGTAAGTAGGTTTGATGGTAGCATTAGGACGACTAATTCTTGTAGTTATAATGCCCTAACGCACTGACTTCGGATTATATTTATCTTGATACAGTCCAGAATTGTATGAAAAGTAGAACCATCAGACGATAAATACACATACATAGATTTCTGACAATTAGAGGGTAAGAAAAGAGAAAGTATGATACCCAAAAAGAAGTATAGTGGTTTTTAAAAGGCTAGATTATGGTTGAGTTAGGTTAATAAAGGCAAAAGAAGTAAAGAGTAATTGGAAAGCTGAGAAGAAAAGATATATATGGGGGTGGGTCAGAGAGGACATCATGATGAGTCTTTTTGCATGCGCCTCGATTCTGTTCTACCCCTCTCTCTTTAATTTACTTATTTATTTATTACTCCCTTTGTTACTTGTATTTGTTGCTATGGACTAAAAACAGCACTACTACTTTATTTAAAAGGTATACTCAATCGTATAGGAGATCTTCTTTCTCTGCCAATGGTTTTTTTTTTTAACCTAGGAAAAATACGCGGTCGCTACAGAACTCTCACTGTGTAATAGCCTGCAAATTACATATGAAATATAAATCGCATTAGGCAAGCCCCGTACGACAGGCCCAAACCCAAAGACATTGAGGGGGTCAAACCAGCATGATCCGTGTGGACAATCTCTCCAAGCCAACTAGGTTGATTGTTTAATAACCAGTTTATTAGTGTGTAGTGAATGAACTAAAGTCACCATTCTGAAAAAGTTCAAACTAAAACCTTACCCCTATCTCAACACACTAATGTCTTTTGATGATTTTATTCTTCTAATTTGGGTTATGATCCAAACTTTTAACGGTTAGATTTTTATGGACCAAATTAAAAGTAGCTACTGTGACTGCAATAAGCAATTAGTTGATTATTAAGTTTTTTTTCCGCCTACTTTATGTTGGAAAAATTATTATGGAGAATAGGAGTTAACTTGAGGCGTGTTTAGGACACTGTCCTTAAGGATATTTTGCACACACAATAAAAAATAAAATTGGGCGTATCCCCCATGATTCAACAAGCTCTTCCAGTTATAAACTTGGGAACATGGCTAGTAGAAAATTTAAGAAAGAAACCCAACATATAGAAGGAAGAAGATAATTCAGAAAGTTATGTTAGAAAGTGTGTCTTTAGCTCTTGCAAAAACCATGTTTATATAGGTGTTACTCCAACGGCTAGATAACGGCTAATTAACGACTAGTTTGACTTTATTAATTGTAAAATAACTTACTAAATAATAAGTAGATGTAAATAATATTTCAAAGAGAAAAGATTTTCCAAACCAAGATGGACATTACCTTTTGAGATATCACTAATTTTCCAACAATCCCCCACATATCTCAAAAGGGATATAAAAAATAAACAGTAAATAAATAAATAAATAAATAAATAAATAAAGAAAGAAAGAAAGAGAGAGAGAGAGAGATAATTTGCTGGGTTTCGGGTATAATAAAATTCATCTGGTGTCTTATAGACTATGAACCAGATATAGATAAAATAAAATTTAACTTACAAAATAACTAGTGAAGTTGATAACTTCTATAAACCAGAAATTCTTGCTGTAAGTTAGGGATTTTATTCATCATATTACACCCCCACAATTTCTGTTGTTATCGCGATTTTGCGCTAATAGGCCATGAGCGCGCCTAGTTTTCACGAGTGCTCTAGAAATTTTGCCACAAATTTCATAGGAGCGGCCCCACTCCTCACTCATATAGGTTCATCCATCAAGTGTATTCTGCAGCACAATACACCACCTACAATAGGCTATGGATTATTGGATTAAGAGTATAATAACCCAACCTCACATTCCTTGCAGTCTTGCACTATATACACATACTATGGGAAGAGACATAATTTAATAGTGCATATTTGATCAGCTAATGACTTGTTATTACTCATATGAACCTACATCATGGGATCTCCAATCACATATGTTTTGTTACCATCATTGTTGATACATTTCAAACTGGCAAAAATTTCAATCCCTCGATGTTTCACTTATAAGTCAAAGGATCGGCCAAATCCTCTTTTGACTACACATAATATGTATAAAAATCTCACTAGGCAATTGCTTTATCACATATGTCTCAAGAGAATGTGTCTAGTCTTCCCATTGAAAGATTTATTTTTTTATAATAGCTATTGCGCCTTGGCAATCACAATTCATCGACACAAATATTGTCGACTTAATTCCAAGTGGAAGATTCACCACGAGGTTGCTTAATCAACCTCATTGCCAGACAATTCCAATATCATAACACCTCATCAAAAGGTGATCACACAATCACTAGTGAGTTTTTCAACATTATCACTGTATCATTCTAATACAATAAAAAATTCACATACAAAATACTAACTCATAGTATTACTCAAGTAAGGCATAAAATCACCTCAGATGAAATAAAACTTGACTTCTTTACAAGTATCTTTTGAAGCGTCTTTCAACACATAAGAAATTATTTTCTTTTTGTATCTTCCATATTCAAGTACTAAAGAAAAATTTCTAAATATAAAAACAACTTTAACTTCTACATAAGTATCTCAAATCAATAGAAAATGGGTCATAATTCAACGATTTCTTCACCAAAATGACTAAGAGACCCAAAGCAACTGTAAGGCCCCGTAAAATTTTTGCAAAAAAAAATAATATTTCGTGGTGCCAAATTGATTTTACGTATTGAGTATTATTTGGTCGAACAATGCACCGGAAAGTAAAGAAAAATTTTTGGTGGAAAAGCGCATTTCTGCTGTCCATTATGCGATCGCAGAACCACTCTGCGGGCCACATAATGACCACAGAAGTGATGCAGGAGAGGGTCAGTCTGGAAGCAATTATGTGGTTGACTATGCGACCGCATAACTGTTATGCGGTGCATTATGCGACCGCAGAACAGTTATGCGGACCGCATAGTGACCGCAGACACAGACATATTTTTGGTCGTTTTGGTCAGCAATTATGCGACCGATATGCGGTCCGCATATTGATTATGCGATCGCAGAACGTGTTTCGGAGCTTCATTTATGGGTTTTTAAAATCCGATCCTATTTCGTTAAATACACTATTTTGGCCATTTTTGAGCTATAGTCTGACATTTTAGAGTGAGAGAGAGTGCCATAGAGTGAGAAGGTGTTCTTCAATAATTTTTCTTCAATTCTTGCTCAAGCTTTGGAAGATTAAGAAGGAAAACTCACTAGGTCTTCATCCTAGAGGTAAGATTTTACACCCTAACCCTCAATTTCGAATTTTGTCTATAAGTGCGTAATTAGCAAGATAATTTTTGGACATGAGAGTTATTTATTTTACATGCATGTGATATC